GACATCTGACGACTCAGACAGCTCAGAGTGGATTCCTGCTCAGAATGCCCATTTGGACACTGCAAGATCCCCTTCATCAGAAGATAGCAGCAACACGGATGATGCTTTGGACCACATGTGACAAAAAGAATGAGGAAACTGAGGCTCACTCACCAGACGGTGCATCATTAATGCACTCAGCCAACACAGCTGGGCAGCGATGCTGGGATAAATACCATTATTGTATTTTTTGCCCTGAGAGTTACGCTAAACTTCCCCGGCACATGATCCAGGTCCACCATGAGGAAAGCTGAATTGCTCATATTTTGAGCTTTCCTGTCAAATCCAAACAGCGGAAAATACTGTGGGATATTATCAGAAAATAAGGAGACCATGTTCACAATTGGAGTGTTATTGATACCAATGAGTGTCTGATAATTCCTGCCAAGAGACCAGGATCTCAAAAGGCATCAGTTGGTGATTATCTGCCTTGTGAATACTGCCTCGGATGGTATGTCCGTAGTGACATATGGAAACATGACAAAGTGTGCCCAGAGTATACCACCAAGGAAAAAGGTTGGAGGAAAGTTCAGACAAAAGTGCCATGTTGCTACCTGCATCAGCTAAATGTTCAAGCAAATTGAAGGAAAATGTGCTATCTAACATGAAACACGACAAAATGAGCATGGTTGCACGAGGAGATCAGCTTATAGTGAATTTTGGAGAGCATCTGTACAAGAAACTTGGTCATGATTCAAGCCCCACACATACGTTAGTCAGAAGATGAGGGAACTGGCTCGCCTGTTGGGAAGCCTAAGGAAACAGAAGTCAGCACTGTTGCACTTGCATCAGTACATATGCCCAAAGAAATTTGACTCGGTTGTAGCTGGTGTCAGAGAAGTTGCCTGGTTGCAGGATTCACTTCCGAGACAGGTCACTATAAAATCCCATCTCTAGCTCTCAAGTTGGGTCACTCCTTGCCAAGGTGCGGACTCATAAGTAAAGCTGATGCCATCAAGCGTGAGGATCAGTAGACGAGAAGCAGAGTTCTATGAGCTTACCGATTCCGAGTGGTCCAGTGAAGTCTCAAAGCATGTATTGACTACTCTGTTTGATAGAAAGAGGAACAAACCACAGTTGTTGCCCCTTGCAGAAGATGTCACAAAGTTGCAGACATGTCTACAGAATGTGGTTGTGAAGAGCACCATCAGCTTGGAAAAAGACAAAACGTGCAAAGAAAGTTGGGTTGAACTTGCTCTGGCCACACTTGCTCAGATTGTCCTGTTCAATAGAAAAAGGGCAGGAAAGGTAGGAAAAGTGATGAAGAGATCTGCATGATAAACCCACAAGAGTGGAGATCAAGGGTAAACGAGGTCGTATGGTTCCTGTGTTACTAGGGGTGTCAAGAGCAGCCTTACCCTGTTACTGTCATGCCGGAAAAACATCGGAATTGATGAGCACAACTTGTTCTTCTTTGCTAAGGCTCATTCAGACACCCTGCATTATAGAGGCTCTGATGCACTGAGAAAGTTCGCTTATAGGTGTGGAGCCAACTCTCCGGAACTCCTAACCTCAACACGCCTTCGCAAACAAGTACATGTAGCTACTTTGTCCCAGGTTCTTTGCTTGAAAGATAATGAACTGGACATATTAGCCAAGTTTGTGGGTCATGACATCCGCATACATAGGGAATACTATAGGTTGCCAGAGGAGGTCACCCAGACTGTCAAGGTGAGCCGCATCCTGCTTGCTATGGAAAAAGGCAGCCTACAAGATTTCAAGGGGGAAAACACTTGATGAGATTACTGCAACTGGGTGTGGTCAGTGAGTTGATCATAATCTTGATTCTTTTCATTTTCTCGGTCTTTCTCAGTTTTGGACTTTTCTTTGAGGATTTTCTTTCTTTGGGTCTTGGTCCTATTTGTAGTCTGTGTCTTCACCTTTGTCTTTTTTTCTTATTTCTCCCTTTGATCTTTACTTGGCCTTTTTCATTTTCTTTCCCATGGTGTTGATCTTTGCTTGTTTGTTGGTCTCAGTCCTGTCAGCGACATGATACCCAACATACATTCTCTGGGGTGGAAAACAATTTTGCCTTTCTAGTGTGACTTAAAAGTAAAGTGGTTTTCTTTTATCAAATTTAGAAAGAAATGATGTTATTTATCCATGGCAAATTATTCACACTTCATAGTAAAGAAAAAGTAACCTAAATAGTACTGTTTTACTAAATTTAACCTTGTTGATATTTATCAGGCATGCAACTTGTATGTGCCTACAAATTATTAAATTAAAATAACAAGATTGCCGACATGAATAGTGCTAAATGCAAAGGGTTTAGAGAAGGGGACAGGAATGGTTTGTAACATCAGATGTTATTTCTGAAATCCCAGTTGCATCTCTGATCTATGTAATCTAAAACCAATTTGAAAGAGCTGCTGAAGCACAAAAATTTGCTTATGTACATGTACCTTGTTAGTAAAATCAGGTTACCACCCAGTACTGTATGTGATTGTAATGCTAAGCAAACAGCTAAATGTAAATAGAAAGGTTTGCTGTGGCACCATGTAGTAATTTCTTTTGTGAGCATGTGTGGTTCTGAAAAGAACTGGTGGGCTCAACATTTCTGTTCGTCTTCAGGAGAATGCAGAAAGATCAAGCCCTCTGTTCTTTTTAGAACCACGCACTACATAGTGCCATTGCAAACCTTTCTCCTATTGCTCTCTTCACCATGCAAACCTTCAAGTCTTATTTAAATCTAAATACCAATCACAAACAACATTCACATCACATTGAATTTTGGCTGGTAACCTGATTTCACTAAACAAAGTTTTTGAGCTTTTAAAAGCAATTTTTTGTGCTTCAGCAGCTCTTTCAAATTGGCTCCAGATTTGTAAGGTATGTGGTAGAGTACGGCTTAAGTGGGAAGTTTAAAAAGACCATTAAAGGTAGTGTGGAAGATTTGACTAAGAAATTTTAATAATTCAAGGAAAAATGGTACAATGAATCTGAAATATGTTATTAACAGATTAGCCTGATGGGGGGAACCCGTAGTCTTTCATGACAGGTGCTGCGGGTTCTTTTAAAGTGCACACAGAGCCTCACATGTACGTCTTATCCGAAGGACTTGACCCTTGCGAATATGGGTCAGTTGTGCCCCAGACCAATGCACCAGTTATTTCCAGACATGCTAAAGCAAGCAATTCATGGTGTGATTTCCTATCCAAGTACTGCCTGCAATCGATGTAGCTTAGCTTTGGCAGTGTGCCACTTATCAACTGAGCCAACTGTCTGGGACAAAGCATGCATGCCTTGAGGCTAAATCTAGTCCGGTCCTCTTGGCTCGACTGTGCATGTTCAGTTAAAATGTTGGCAAAATATTTTTTCGAGTTATATAGCCATTTGTTTCCAGGGAACTTTTCAGTGAATTTTAGAAAATGAAATGAAATGAAATTCGATTTCTTTTTAAATGCTAGCACGGTTGAATTCCCTTTTATTACTTCCAGTCAGTTAGGTTTTTCATAACATTTTGGCGGTTTCATTTTTAGAATGTTTGTAACTCATTACAAAATAGTTCCCAACCTTAACTCCATATTTCATAATTCAGTGATTTTGATTTACCAGCTGTTCCCAGAAATGCACAGAAGCTTGCAGATAGTAGTGGTGAACTCCTACCAGCAGATGGCAGACATAGTAGGAAGTCTGTAGCAGGTGTTTCGGAACCCCCATCAGCTGACTCCAGCCGTGCAGGGAAGCCTTTAGTAGGTAAGTTTTGCCAAGGAATAATCCAATTCCATTTTGCGAAGTAATTCTTGATTTATCAGACAAACAACTGTTTTTCAAGGATTATTTGATACCTTTTGTCTTTCCCATAATTGTTTGTGATCCTTGTTGTACATTGCAGCCATTTATCAGAAATTTATATAAATTAGTTCCCAACCTTAACTCCATATTTTATAATTCAGTGATTTTGATTTACCAGCTGTTTCCAAATATGCACAGAAGCTTGCAGATCGCAGATGTAGCAGGAGGTCTGTTGCAGATGTTCCTGAAACCCTATCAGCTGACTCCAGCCACGTGAGGAAGCCTTTAGCAGGTGGTGGTACTTGTAGGTCAGTGAAAGCTAAAGGTAAGTGATTTTGTTTTTGTTTGCTGGTTAAAACTGAGGTGTGCTTTGTTTCCAAGTGTTGTCAGGGAATATTTTAATGTTGACGTTGAGAATATTCCATCGAAGATCCGTTCACAAAATTTTCTTACTAGCTTACTGGACTATTCCATACATTGCAGATGCCCAAATGAAGTTAAAGTATATTTTGGGATCATGCCTGTTATATTCTGGTCGTGAATAACACTTTTAGCAGAGCCAATCACACCTTGTACAGTAAAAGGGTCTAAGATACTGCCCCTGCTATATCTAGCTAGGCTTCTTTCTGTGTGGAAAATGCTGAAAATGCACACCTGCTTAATTTGAAGTTGAACATTTTTCAACTTAATGTTTGAAAGCATACTTGGTCTCTAACACAAGAAACTTACATTTTGATATTTGAAAAGAAGTTTTACTATAGTAAAAGTTTTAATTAGAAAAGGAGATTTTCAGCCCTCCCCCCATCTTCAAAAGTTGTCGTGGGACGCAATTTACAAACAAAATCCATTATTTGAACCTCATATCTACGTAATAGAGCCTGCAATTGTGAATGCTACATTTTTCATAACTGAAAGAAAGTATTTGATTTGTTTAGGTCAGAGGGTCTTACAACTCTTCTTCACTAGCGAAGAGAGCAAGCACTATGACCTCCCCCTTTCTAATTTTTATTGTACACTTTTTGTATTAAGAAATTCCAGTGTTCTAATAACAGCACTATTTAAAGGATGGTCTTACGGAGACAGTATATTTTTGCATTGTAAAATCTTTTACGGATGAGTAATAAGGAGAAAGTTCCCTTTTCTTTAGAAGAAACTATTAAACACTGTCATTACTCATTACGTAGCTGTTGCAGACTAACGTTTGGGAAAATAATGCCTCTGTAACATCAGTTACCTTGGACCCACCCCTTAGAAATCCTGAAATACCCGATCCTGATAGGCTTATGCAAATACCCTCATAATTTGTTTTCCTCAGTGTACCTACGATATTCACTGCCATGGCTCCTGCAGACCAAAAGATTTTGCTTTTTGAGATGTCATTTTCCTGGGTAGGCTGAAATTTTGTAAGTTCATATGTGCCCTTTACCTTTTTCAGGGGAAAAGAGAGCTTGGTCAGAAGAAGAAATCCAGGCAGTAAAATCAAGGAAAACACTACTTGCTCTCATGTTACCAGGAAAACAAGACATCGAGGCAATGCAGCAGGAACACCCGATCCTGCATTCCAGGTTCTGGAGGAATATCAAAGACTACTTCAGAAATGATAGTAGTAAACTTTTGGCTTTAAATTAGGTTGTAAGTATGCAAACAATTGTTCATAGTTGCTTTATTGCTATTCATTAGGGGTGTCCAAATGACTTGCCAGAAGGTTTACGAACTCAGTTTTAGACTTAATCTTTGGGGCCTTGAATTGTGCATTTTTTGTGTTTCTTTGATTGTTGGTAGGCTACAGCTATTGAGCATAATAGAGGAGATTACATGCTCTTATTTTGAAGTAATGATTATTTGGTATTGTGCCAGGTGCAGTGTTGAAAAGGTTCTTTCAAGTTGTCCAGAAAAATTGTGCATAGTTGCATTACCATTATTCAGGGGGGGGTGCCCAAATAACTTGCCAGAAGTTTTACAAACTCAGTTTTAGACTTAAATCCTTGTGCCTTTTATTATGTATTTTTCATTTGATTGTTGGTAGGCTACAGTTATTGAGAATGATAAAGGAGATTACATGCTTTCATTTTAATTTAATGAGTGTTTGATATTTGATATTATATTTGATAGGAGCAATTCTGAAAAAAGATCTTTTGATCTTTTAGTTACTTAATTGATATTAATTTGTGGGGGGGCAAATGATGCCTGAAAGTTTACAAACTCTATTTTAGACTTCAATCCTTGGACACTTTAGTTACGTACTTTGGTTTTCATTTGATTGTTGGTAGGCTACAGTTATTGAGCTTAATAGGGGAGATTACCTACTTTGATACAAAAATAATGATTGTTTGATACATTGCCAGGTGCAGTGCTGAAGATATCTTGAAAAGGGTGCGCTTTAGAGGTATATTGACCTTATGTGATGTTGATGTCATCAGGAGACAAGTCATGTGACATTAAAGGTACAATCTTTAAGGCCCCATATCTCCTGAAGTACATGTCCGATCAAACCTTGCACATTTCTTGAAAAGGGAGCGTTTTAGAGGTACATTGACCTTGCCTGATAATGACGTCATCAGGAGACAGATCAAGTGACATTAAAGGTACACTCTTTAAGGCCTTGTATCTCCAAAAAGACATGGAACAGCATGTTGAAAGTAATTAGCAGGTATGTGGAAGGAGATGTGTGACAGACGAAAATTGACCACATGGGATGATGACGTCATCAGTAGACAAGTCAGGTGACATAAAAGGTGTATCCTTCAAAGCCTTATGTCTAAAAAAATGTATGTCCTAGCGGCATGAAACTCTGCAGATATGCAGTCACAACGATTCCCTTTTCAATGAAAAGCAAAAAAGCCCTCTGTTCTGTTGCAAACAGACATAGAACCTCTCGTTTTTTAATTTCTTCTTCCTCATAAAATCCCATTGCATAACATGGGTTTTTGTCCTGAGCAGGACTTCTACCCTTTTGTAATTTTCGAATGACTTCAAACTTGGCAGTTTTCAACCATCATCCAAAGATGGTCCTAGAAGAAATTCACAATGATAACTTAATTAGTTTATTGATTTTTGAATAATTAATTTTTCCATAGGCTTTGTACACAGATTGCACGGAGATTTCGGATTGTCCTATATCAGGCTGTGAGGGCGCTATTGCAAAAGTACGGTTACACTTGCCTGGGACTTCAATTTTCAACAAACTGTCCTATATTGAACCATAGATGGCGTTGTTGTACAAGAACATTAAGACTACCAGAGCTCCGATTTTTGTCGATCATGTGTGGGCAGTCCTCAACGTCGACCCGGGCCGAGAATTACTACCAGAACGAAAGAGAAATGAGACTAAATTTTCCCATTCCTTCGATTGCAACCATACCCAAGACTCCGATTATCAAAAAATATTTCATAACGTTTGTCCAGTTTAGACAAATATCATGTGACATGAAATTAAAGGAGCAGTTTTCCTGCACACGTGTTTCTAGCCCGTTGACTTTGTACACGTTTTCGAGCCGGAATTTTGCTAACTTTGCAATGTTTGATCGTTCCCAAAGTGGTAGTCCACAAAGACCCTGATGCAAAATTTATTGGAAAGGACTGATGTCATGATGACGCCATTACCTTATTTTATATTGATTTTTGAATATTTTATTTTTCCCATAAGTTTTGTACACGTTTTTTCTAATTAACACAAGTTAACGAGTAGTCTTTTACTTCAGCTAAAGATTACTATAAGAGCGAAAGAGAAATCAGGTACTTTCCGCTCTGTTTTTTGACTTAAAATATGCCTTAGAGTCCGAATATGAAGTAATATTTCGTAAAAATTGTTCAGGTTCAGGGAAAATCACATGACATGAATTTAAAAGAGCAGTGTCTCTGCAAACGAGTTTATTGCCCGTTGACTTTGTACAAGTTTTCGAGCCACGTTTTTGGTAATTCAGCAATGTTTGATCATGGTTAAAGTGATAGCCAACAAGACCCTGATGGGAGGTTTTCAGGAAAATGAATGACGTCACAATGACGCCGTCACGTGATTTTGAATTGAATTTTCAATCGGTCCGGTCCTTCTGCAGTTGTCAGGAGGGTGGAGATCCATCCGCCAATTAAGGAGGATAGAAGGCGCAAAACCAGGCAAAAAATGGACTCGAGGCGACTGTGGCTTGATTCCCTTCAATCTATTCCCAGGTGTCAATCAGCTATGAAATTGTAACCAAAAAGAAGCCAAGAAAAAAAATAAAGAAAGACAGAGGACGTACTGTTATTGAGTGATGGGTTACATGTACAAAGTAATAAACGTTACATTTGCTATGTCCATGGTAAATTCACTCTACGAAATGTCTCTGTACAATCATAAATTGTCTTAGCCTGACGTCTAAAAGCTTGCCCAAATTGGTATGAACTCTAAAGCCAACGGAAATTTAGGGCTTAGGTTATCCGACAGGGAACCATGTTGCTGTGAATGCCAGCCCACCAAGGTGCAGGTCTCAAGCGTGGGATTGTCACTGAGAAAAGCCCAGAAACTTCTCAGGTCCCGCCAAAATGTAATACAATGTACGCAACTTCCGGCCGAAGGGCGTGGCTTAGAGATAATTTAGTCTGCACACGGCAAAGGACGCTCATACGCATTGATCTCGTGCCAGAGACCGGCAGGCCAGAGTTCAGAGGTCAGATTTCAAACTTTGTAAACAGATTTAGGCCCTTATTTTGGTCACTTAGCGATGTTCAATGCCCATCACAGTTACACCAAGTAAAACTCCGGAAGCAAATATTTTATGAATTGAAGGACGTCATGATGACGTCATGAGGTGACTTTTAATTGAATTTTGAATATTTAATTTCCCTATAGATTTTGTACACATAGAAAATGCAGCAAACATGCACACATATGCCACAAACCTCACCATCTATGGTCTCATTCATAAAAAAATCATCTATATCTTTCAAACACACAACCAGCATTTACACAAAAAAGTTGAAACAGCTCAGTGTTCATTTACCAATAAACGTTCATATCGTTCAGGTTCAGGGAAAATCACATGACATGAAGTTAAAAGAGCAGTGTCTCTGCAAACGAGTTTATGGCCCGTTGACTTTGTACAAGTTTTCGAGCCACGTTTTTGGTAATTCAGCAATGTTTGATCATGGTTAAAGTGATAGCCAACAAGACCCTGATGGGAGGTTTTCAGGAAAATGAATGACGTCACGATGATGCCGTCACGTCATTTTGTCAGGAGGGTGGAGATCCATCCGCCAATTAAGGAGGATAGAAGGCGCAAAACCAGGCAAAAAATGGACTCGAGGCGACTGTGGCTTGATTCCCTTCAATCTATTCCCAGGTGTCAATCAGCTATGAAATTGTAACCAAAAAGAAGCCAAGAAAAAAAATAAAGAAAGACAGAGGACGTACTATTATTGAGTGATGGGTTACATGTACATAGTAATAAACGTTACATTCGCTATGTCCATGGTAAATTCACTCTACGAAATGTCTCTGTACAATCATAAATTGTCTTAGCCTGACGTCTAAAATCTTGCCCAAATTGGTATGAACTCTAAAGCCAACGGAAATTTAGGGCTTAGGTTATCCGACAGGGAACCATGTTGCTGTGAATGCCAGCCCACCAAGGTGCAGGTCTCAAGCGTGGGATTGTCACTGAGAAAAGCCCAGAAACTTCTCAGGTCCCGCCAAAATGTAATACAATGTACGCAACTTCCGGCCGAAGGGCGTGGCTTAGAGATAATTTAGTCTGCACACGGCAAAGGACGCTCATACGCATTGATCTTGTGCCAGAGACCGGCAGGCCAGAGTTCAGAGGTCAGATTTCAAACTTTGTAAACAGATTTAGGCCCTTATTTTGGTCACTTAGCGATGTTCAATGCCCATCACAGTTACACCAAGTAAAACTCCGGAAGCAAATATTTTATGAATTGAAGGACGTCATGATGACGTCATGAGGTGACTTTTAATTGAATTTTGAATATTTAATTTCCCTATAGATTTTGTACACATAGAAAATGCAGCAAACATGCACACATATGCCACAAACCTCACCATCTATGGTCTCATTCATAAAAAAATCATCTATATCTTTCAAACACACAACCAGCATTTACACAAAAAAGTTGAAACAGCTCAGTGTTCATTTACCAATAAACGTTCATATCGTTTGAATTTGTTTCGATTTGACATTTGACTCTTTTGGAATAAAGTCCAAGAGCCGCGCATATTGCCCAACGCATTCACAATCGTCTTTTTTTACATTTTACGACCGCTTTCTTATTTTCAATATATTCAGGCAGCTTGATATATGCCCCACCCAATGGATCGTATTGCGTCATGTTTATATAAAAATGCATCGATTTCGTTGTGTACCCATTCCGATCCGTTATTGATAAATCGGTTATTTGCTCTAGGAGTTGCTCTTTTTGTTCCTCCAGTACGTTCTTGACATCTTGTTCAAGAAATACTGTTGTGATTGAACTTAAAAACGTAAACGTTTGTTTAACAAGGTTAGACTTGAATTAATCGCCGCTTAGAGCTTGTAAACCCCAATTTCTCGTGATTAGGCCAACGCTTTTGATCTTGTTGTGTGAAACAAAAAAGTGGTTTTGATCATTGTTAGAAATACGCGGTCGCAATTCACAGTTTCTAAAATTACCTTGACTTGCCTAATTTCTCAAACATTTACTTCGTCAAACAATTCCGGTCGAGTTTAGGCTTTGACGGCTGCAACGAGGGAAGGGGTTGTTATTTTTTTTCAGATGGCCGGTTTCGTCTGCCTCACTAAGCAGATGCAATGCTGTTGTCGTTGAACATCTTGTTTCGCTTGAGCTACAACGTCTTTGTCCGCGGCGGCGGTCAAGTGGACGAGTAACCAAGTGGCGTACGCAGCGATTAATTCGGCATATTCGATTTGGGTAGCGAAAGTGAGATCCATGGTTTGTCAAGCTTTGTTTTTTACGTTTTTTAAGATTTAGCGCAGAATCAGCCCTCATAGGGAGGGTTGGGATATGATGGGTGGTTTTTGCATATAAAAACAAAATGTACACCCTACCTAGCTGTAGTAGTAGGGATATGATAGTTCAAGACCACCTCCGTTTT